CATTATTAGGTAGACCAATTCTTTTTCAAGTGCTTAAGTAAGTTTAATTTTTCTTTATACCACTTAAAAGTTGTCATGCATTAAAGGTAAAAACCATTTATTTGGTCCCAGTAGATAAACTAATTTACCAAATATATCAATTAGTAGGCGGTTTCCCGGCAACATTTGTATCGTCACGTATTAGTAAAATCATATTCTTTCACATAATAGGTAATAAGAGCTTCCATTTCATTTTTTGAGAGGCGTGCGTTTCCAAAACTGGTCTTTACCTTGAATAATTGGGCCATCATCTTACAAGTACCGATAATTCATTAAACATAATCGCAATTATAAACATGATAAACTTTTTTTTTTAAAGGTAATACAATACAAAATATCATACACTACATATTTTTAAAAAAACAAGGAACATTTATGTTAAAGGTATTATGTCCCTTTTGCAGCCAACCTCAAATTCTGTAGAACTTTGCAGGAATTATGAATATGTCATGTGTGTCCTATCTGTGAAATTTAAATTTTAACAGTGTCCTATTATTTAAATTATGCAAGGAAACCTGTTTACTTGCTAGACTTTACTGTCAGACACTATTGAGTGACCGACTGGCTTGTTATTCTTCCTTGATAATAACATACATAAAATGAGCTGTAAAGGGTACATGAGCATTTGTCTACATCAATAACCCACTTCTTGTGATGGCCAAAATTAAACTGATTGAATCTTTGCGCAGCATAAAACGTATGACCATTCAGTACAATGGTCTGAAAATCAAGACTATTACTTATTGGATCTATAGCTCCTAAGTCGATTTGACAACTAATAGTCTTTATTTTCCCACTTGAAGACATTTTCAAGCCCCACCTTTTTTAGTGAAGTTCTAAATTAGTATTATCTTTCAAATGCCGTTGGAATTTAACCTTATCATTTTTTTGGACTACGAATGGGACATAGTACCTTTAACATGGCAATTCATGAACGAATTTACGACATTTGATACTTATGTTGTTTTGATTGATAAAAATAAACATCTTCATAAACAATGTACATAATTGAACAAGAACATTAATATAACTGCATGGGCATGACAGAAACATAATTCATCATTTTGTTTTCCTTTTTAAAATTGACCATAATTTGTTCATTCTGAAATGTCTTTATATAGCGAGATAACATCTCTACACTAAGTACAAAGACAGATAAATATACAAACATCAATGAATAATTGAAACAAATAACAAATTGAACTACATTACAATGAAAGATACATTTATGAAACAAATAATCAAACAGGCAACCACAACATGAAACCCAGCAGCAATACTATATCAAAAGTCGCAGAAGAACTAGATTTTAATATATGACCTAACAAATAACCCAATATTGCCAAAGAAGAGGTAATATATCATGGGCTGTGGATACAAAAACATAACATATTCCTTTCTCGAGGAAAGAGAAATCGTCCCACCAAGATACTATCTAAACCACCGATTTAACCGGTTTTTATTGCAAGTATTTATTAGAAAAATCATAATATGGGCATGGTGGATTTAAGAGGCAAATGATAAAGAAGCATATTTATTGGGCATATGTCTTTTTTAAACGATTTGTTCTCTCCTGTACCTTCTTGTATTCTTACTACTGGTAGCTAACATTTTCATAGTCGGAATTCCCTTGTGCTTGACCTCCCTCAGCTGCAGGAGGCACTACGTCCATAGTAAAGTTCCTTTTAGCTAGGTTTCCATGCGAGATTCCCTCATCGGCGCCATCTTGGATTTGGGTGATTTCGTACACGCTATCGCCTGGCGGAGCGAGGGGAGCAGACTCGACGTTCCCGTAGGTATGTTCGTATTCAACCGGGACTGGCAATTGTTCGTACTCGTTGGCAGACAGGTATTCATTGATCAACTCATAGACGAATGCATAGTTTTCCTACATTACACAAGAAAAACGCGAAAATGTATGAAAATATATTATAGGCCTACAACCATATAATTAAGAAAATCATATCAGTAGACCTTTCATATCACACTTTATATACCTCACTTAAGTAATCCAGCAATCTGATTGGTCGAAATTGCATTCATAAACTTTAACTGTTCCCGAAAATTCTCGGTAACCATGGTTAAAAAACAGTTCAAAATCCCAATAACCATGGTTATCGGGAAAATAGGTCAGTCTCCATGGTTACCCAATAGGTTTACATGTTAAAAAATGGTCCGAGCGATCGAGGATACCGTACGTGTGCGAAAAATTGGTCGGTAATTTCGATACAATTGAATCTCGATAGATCTTACCGACAATTTTATCTTGCATTGTTGACAGGAAGACGAAAATAAACTTCAAAAAACAAAAAAACAACATCTGCCGATAGATCTTGATCTAAGTTCGTGCCAATATGCATTGCAAAAGTAAAAGAAGGGCCCGTTTAATGGAGCAGCGGCGAAGCATCGACCACGCGAAGCCGTTTTTAATTCATTTTAATGTATATATTAAAGAAAACTACTGTACATGGTGGCGCTGACTGTAGTTACATCACCTTTTGTAAGCAAGAGTTCGAATCCCAGCTTCGACAAAAAAATTTTTTTTCGGCATATAAAAGTATTAATGACTGCTTTAATATTCGAGAAATAGTTGTTTTTATACGCTCTCGGGAAGGTTACAATTGGGCTATTCCCCTCGGCACGCCTCGGGGAATAGCACAATTCTAACCTTCCATTGAGCGTATAAAAACAACTATTTCTCTCAAAGCAGTCATTAATACTATAATATTGTTAAAATAAATCACACAGGTCTACTTCTATTTCATATCATGTTGTATAATCATGTCATGTGATATCTTATCCAATTGTATCAGAGGCGGCGGAGCGACTTCCAAAATGGGGGGCACCAACAAAAAAGGGCACTTTCTGGAAAAAAGGGGCACCTACAAAGGGAAATCTCAAAGCGAAAATATACTATTTTTAGACATTGGTATATACCCGTATAATTTGATTACATTATCAGGGATGATTTCAATATTTGTTTCTCTTATACATCGTATAAAATACTGCTTAAGCATCAAACCTTGCAGTTGGGTGTGATGGTCGAAAAAAATCATTTGCGAGCGAGGAAAAATATAAGATTTGTGAGGTCGCAGTGCGAAACTACATCTTATAAAGAGGAAAAAACCAATCCTCATCGGGTTATAAATAAGCACATTCTCATGATAGTAAAACTGAGAAGACCTTTGATAATAAACATAATTATAACATCTATAAATGTGAGAGAGCGTAGCGAGCGATCTTTGGGAGATATTGCTCTTAGTCGCTTGAAATTAGGGACACGTTTAATGATGAGAGGAAAAGGGGACACTTATCGAAGGAATAAGACACTGATTACAAAATAAAAGGAGCACCTGTCAAAGTACAAAGGATTATTATCAGAGGTGAAAATAGGGCACTTACTAGGGATGAAAAGGCACTTATGAGAATGGAAATTGGGCATTTGTCGACGGAAAAGAGGCAACCATCAGATTTTGATAGGGGCATTTCTGAAAAAGGGATAGGTTCCTCATAAGAAAGGAAAAGGGGCACGTATCATTGTTAAAAAGGTTAACTTTATCAGAGGTGAAAAGGGGCACTTATCGCATCTGAAAAGGGGCACACACCATATATGAAAAAGGCACTTATGAGAATGGAAAAGGGGCACTAATAATAAAGGGAAATGTGCATTTGTTGAAAGAAAAGGAGCACCGATCAGATTTTGATAGGGACTTTTATTGGAGGTGAAAGGGGGCTTTTATGAAAAACGGATATTATGAAGGAAAAAGAGCATCTATTAGGAAGGAAAAGGGGCACGTGTCAAAATAAAAGGGGGTGTTATTAGAAATGAAAAGAGCACTTATCAGGAGGAAAGGGGGGCACTTGTCAAAATAAAACGAGTATCTCTCAGAATTGAATAGGGTTATTTACCAGACATGAAAAGGGGCACTAGAAGGAGAATGAAAAAGGACTATTTTCATAGGTGAAAAGGGGGCATTTATGAAAAGGCGAAGGGCTCTTTGTTAAATGGGGACACTTATCATAAGGAAAAGGGGCACTTATTAGAAAGGAAAAGGGGCACATGTGAAAGTGTAAGGTGTGCTTATCCGAGTTAAAAGAGGTAGTTATTAAAAGGGAAAGGGGCACTTCTTACAAAGGAAAAAGGGCAATTGTCAAAGTAAAAGGGGCACCTCTAAGATTCGAATAGGGCAATCATCAGAGCTGAAGGAGGTGCTTAACAAAAGTGAAAAGGGGCGCTTCTCATACCCGAAAAGGGGCACCTACTAGAGATTAAAAAGAATGGAAATAGACAAAGGAAACTGGGAACTTGTCAGGGAAAAGAGGTACGTGTCAAAATAAAATGGGCACATATCAGAGGTGGAAAGGGGAGGGAAATTAATAGGGGCACATATCAAAGTAATAGGGGCACTTTTTATGTAAAAAGGGGCGCTTCTTACAAAGTTAAAGGGGCACTTTTCCTATGGAAAAAGGGGCACTTTTGGGGTACTTGAAAAAGTGGGGGGGGGGCACTGTGCTCCCTCCCTGCCCCCCGGGTCCGCCACCTCTGAATTGCATGATATAATATCAATGATGACAAAATACTTGCAAGATTAATTTTGTTTGTAGGGGGAAGGCGTCGGCATATTCTCATCATTTATTCTGCCGCTAATCATCGCATAATAGGGACTTTTATATATGCACGTCGACATAGTGACATCCTTTAAAGGCAATGGCATTGCCTTAAAAGGACTTGACACGTAGCAGTCCCTAGTAATACTTACTTTATTAATCACTTACTTATCACTTATCACTTATTAATCATATGATAAAAAAACCCTGACATCCGCAGTAGTACAACATTCTACAAGAAGGATCTGAGCACTCAATTTTTTCCCTTGTTGTAAATCTCTGCTGAATGTCGGTAAATTCTTTTGACCCCCCCCCCTTCCCCCCCCCCCCACACACACACCAAAATGATCTGCTTATACCTCGGTTTGTACGAAGTGCATCCTCTCATTTCGCAGCATCTTGACCATTTGGAAGACATCAACAGCGTCCTCTTCATTTATCTGTGCGATGCACTCAAGCATGGTACAGAACACACCCGTTCGACCCACTCCGTTCCTTTGTATTGAAAGATAAAAAAAATTAAGATTAAATATCATCGCAAAGATTTTAACGAAAAATGGAAACAATTTTATTACCGTTACACATCAAATGGGCGAAAATGACAATGACATAATGCAGTCTGAACAGAAAACAATATTGATTTTGAAACTTGTCTTCTGATATTTTCTTGAAAGTCTTTGTGATCGTGTTAAGAGAATGGGATGACGCAATAACTGACCACGGGGCAAAGAAGTGGAGAAAGGTCTTGCAGTGGAAAACATTCCGCCCCTCTGATAGGACGTTAAATGGAGGACCCGTGTGGATGTAAGTAACTCACCTGTACGATCTGCTTTGTTCGTACTTAAACAAAGATACAACTATATAATAGACCGGCAAGCAGTGTTAGAGAAGGGTGGGTTCTGGTAAAGGTTAAAAAAAGAATTTGGGAAACTTCCCATTCTATTAAAAATACTTTAGAAGAAAGTCATCGAAGAAATGTCTCCTAAGAAGTAATGTTCTAATGGTTCTTAACTTACAGGCAGTGAACTAGGACTGGAAACCCCTCTGCAACTCCACTAAAACTGTCCTCCACTTCTGTCATAAGATTCAGAAGATAAGGCGCGCGGTCCCTTCGTTCCTCTGCCTTAGTAGGCCAGTCGACGAACTGATACTGCTTCACGACATGGCGAGCCTTGTATAAGAAATAATCATCATAGTAATAATGTCTGTTTATACTTATTCAACATGGTGTATTATTATACACTGTCGCTCATAAAGGTGGAATATTTTTTTTTATCCCAATTTATGGAATTATTTTAAAAATAATTTAAAAATAATAGATCTAGATAATAGTATACATTCTCAGATTTTATTGAATAATAATTTGCCAATGTGTGTTTTGCGTGACTGCTAAAGCATGTGTATGCTACTATGCTTATCAACTAGGGAACCTATGACCTTAAGTCATAATTGACAGTAATGAGGAAAAGGGCACTAATATAGCACATCGACACGGTTTTCATCCTGGGGCCTCACAGTTACGAAGCCATTGCTTTGTCATTGAATCATGACTGTACGCAGCGGGGGCTAGGGTAGGGGGCAGTTTCCATAAATAAAAAAAAATAAAAAATGCAATAAATTTTCAATAATTTATTGCATTTTACCCCGGTTCCCAACATAAAAAATCTTCTGTGTGCCCATGCCTTGAGCCATAATGCATGGCCGTCCAGAGGATTTTTTTGCGACAGTGTACTACAATATATTTTTAAAATAAATCTGTACCAAGTAAGTCCAGTTAGGGGTCTTATTTAAACTCCATTTCTCTCTTGTAATAATATATTCACAATACGTGTAACATGATCAGGACCTTCAACTAGGTATCGGCCCGTCGGGCTTTGCAGCCTAACATTCCTGGCTAAGTTTGCCGCATTTATGCTCTGACAACTACCCTGCCGATAGGTTAGTTGTAATGATTTGTTTTGTTTTGCTACCGAATGATATATTTTCAGTTGGCGGTATTTACTTTCGGTGTACAACTGGTAGATGAAATAGATTTTAATTATTTCTTTGTCATGTTTTATCCGTCTTAGATTTGTATTGATTTTTATTACCATCATCATCATTTATTACATTCAACATTTTCTCTCTTACGGGGGACTTCACCCCACCCCCACCTCCCCCCCCCTTCGCTTTTTCTTGTCTCAACCAGCCTCCTCATTTAGAACAACGTCACTTATTATTTTCTTCACGAGAACTTTCCATAAAATATTCGGTCTTCTTTTCCCTCTTCCACACCACGCATCTTCCGTATCATGACTCTATTCTACTCAATACCTTCTTCTACTGTCTTCACAGCAGTGGCAGATCCAGGGGGGGGGGGGGCGCGGCCCCCCTTGAGAAAAAAAATCATGTAAAAACACGTGATTTTTACCTTTTACATGCATATTGTGGAATATTTGAATTCATGATTTTACTTACGTTTACAACAATGGGGGAGGGGGTATTTACCTTTGGTTTGTTCTGAGTAACCTCTATTTCTCTCTCGATGAAACCTCTTCTCTCTGAGATAGACAGCGTGGTGACAGAGACAGGTCCAAAGGTTTTTACACCCTTGTCAAACCAGTATCGTGCACAGCTCTATGAAGGAGTTAAGAATACCCATCCATTAAGAAAAACTAGGATTAAGGTGTGGTCTTATATAGGCTTAGGAATATACTTAAATATGAAACCTTTTCTTCAAATAATCTACTGATTTCTCTCACGCATATTCTATCAAGTCGCTGACTGGTTCTACCAAGCAGTGTCCACATACTAGAGCCATCTGGTTAGTGCTTTCTTTGGTCCGCTCTATCGTGAGCCTTCCTTATTATTTCATACGTTTTGTAATCTATCAAGTCTGTCACTTAATTAACCAATAAGCCGCTTTGGAGCACTTCTACGAGTTATACACACATATCCACAGATCTATTACACATGGAGAAGTCCCACTTTGTGCATTTTAAAATAATTACTGTCAAAGTGAAGATGGTGCTCCATGAACACCTTTTGTTCGCCCGCCTTAAAAGAATAATTCCACCTGTACATTATAAAATGTACCGTCAGCACATATACACATTAACTAAACTAAGTGAAACTTGGCGGAGGTGTCGTGCAAGACCCTAATGCACATTGGCCACTCTCCACCAGGTATAAATTATTATTTTGTATTAATTAGTGTCGGGGTGTTAGAATGGGCCCTCTGGACTTAAAGCATTAAACAGAATAGTCATTATCATTATTATTACTTTAAGTAGTAGAAGTAGTAGAATTAGTAGAAGTAGAAGTAGTAGTAGTAGTAGAAGTAGTAGTATAGTAGGAGTAGTAGTATAAATAGTACGAGTAGAAGTATCATAATTATTGTAAACAAATCTCGAATTATTGCATGTTTGTACCTTGTCACGTTTATTGTCATCGTTGAGCATGACGATGGTGGATGGTTGGTAGTCGATGACCATGGCCCAGAAATCAGCTACGGTGTTCGGCATCGGCATCTGGGTGGTAATGAACCTGTATCGATTACCCTGTACGACGAAAAAAAACATGAATAAATAGTAAGAGGATTATTGTAAAATGACGAAAAGAAATTGTGTAAAAAAACACTTCATTGATCACACCCACCAGCACTCACTCCCACTATCTCACAAAGACACACACGCACCCCGCACAAACATGTCTTCTTATATAATATACTATAATTTACCATTGTCAATTATTACATTATTTAATTTTGAGGCATCGTAGGTACTCTTGGAGGAAGCAAATTATGGTAATCCTCCTAAAAATAATTGCTAGAATTCATGAAATTGGTTTATCTTAACTCATGAATTAGATCGTGTCGAGCATGTTGAATAAAAGGCCAATATACTTGTTAATATTTAAATTTCCTTTAGTTTGGGGAGGTTTAAAATCAACATTCAGACTGTAGATTGAATTCAAAATTATTTGTTGATTTTAACCGAATTAAATATCAATCGCTGTATTAAATAACGAATTTAGTCTAGACCTCTGACGCGGTGCTATCGGTAAACTAACCTTCACGAAGCTCGCGTTGACGAAGTCCGAATCTGAAGAGCCCCTAGACTGAAGAATGACTCGGTTTCTTTCCACTAGTAGTTTGTAAATTGATTTTGGAAATAAGACGGTTTGAAGAACAGTAAAACAATAAAGAATTAACCTTTTTTCCATGAGGGCTTATCGACTCAAAAGGATTAATTTAACATTAGTATATGAACATCCCACCTTCAAATGAAGATCGCCATCCGTCTCTTAAATTGCATTCAATTTTACCATGTTCGGAGTCATGAACAAGTGCATAATATTGAGTACATATGATAAGTTAAAAAGCACTGAATGGGTAACATTGAAACGTTATAGGAATATTCAAAATGTTTGTTTACTTGGAAGACTGTTGGCGTAACGGCTCTTCGAACGATTTTCTGTCTTCGTAGCAGTTCTGATCAACGAGGCTGGAGGATCAGGACAAACGACCGTCAAGTTCTACAAAGCACAAAATAGAGAGAGATATAACCATGAAGGTATTTATGGTGACCTGAACTTTACTCCTTGACATTATTCTATTCTGGGCTTTGTGTTCGTTAAAGATCTAGGGTTAGGCTTGCAGTTGTTTTTAATTAGCTTAGGTTTAGAGATCGGGCTATAAAGGTGTGGTTCAATGTTTTGTCTCAGTTTTGCAGTTGATGATTTGGTTAAGGCTAGAACATAACCGTGGACAGAAGCATTGGTAGAACAATTCTACTTATGGACTCAAATATCAGTGCAACTTCTGTCAGATTGTGAAGAAAATAATGCCTTTGACCTATCCAAAATACCCTTCACTCATTTTAAAGAAAAACACTTCACCGGGTATACCGATTTGTGAGTACTACTTAACAAATCCTTCCCGTTTGCTTCAGAGATTTTCTGTCACTTTATCCTTGACCGGAGCTGAACTTTATATTTTACATATCTTTTACTTCGAATAAAGTAGAACTGCGGGTTGTTTTCTTTATAGAATTTGGGCTGTTAAAATCTTCTTCGGCAGGGAAATGGTACACTGTACCTCAAACTGTGTAGACAATGGTGTGCATCTCCGTTTGTTGTTTATAGTGACTTTCTGAAGATGCATGAGTGTAGATTCGAAGTAGGAGGCCTGGATCCTGGTATCTTCTGACAGCAAAGCTTCGAGCACAGCCACGTACACAAACTGGTATTGCTCCTTCAATTCCAAAGATTCGATAACAAAATAACTGTTCGGCGAGATGTACTTGAACATTAACATAATAAAGGGGGTGGGGTGTAGTCGGAATCAGCACTCAATCGGTTCAATATTTGTACCATTTTTTAATCATACTTTTCTTGGTACTTGGTACTTGGTAGGATTCCTCCAAAAGACGCCGTAAAGGTGTTTAAACTGGAATGTTGAAATAATAATATTCAAAAATGAATAAAACTATTTCAAAGGTAATATTTAAGGCACCTGCGTAGTAGTATTGTTATACTGTTTTTAGCCCAGCTGCCCTCACCCGGTTCAAGGAGTGGATTCCTGCCAGGTATCCATCTATGACACCTGTGTTGAGAGTGGCAAATATAGATTAATACCCTAGAACAACAGTGTCGCGATAGGACTCGAACCAAGACCCACGTGATTCCAAGTTTGGTCATGTATCCACTAGACCACGACACCTCTATCATAACCCATCGCTATATGTCACCTGTAACATATATCCCTGTAGAAATAAGAAAGTAAAATGTAAGTACGTTATAATCTACCTTTGTTTGCACCATGTAAGGTCGGTTTTGTCTGATCTTTGTGACGTAACCGAATATATCGACTTCCTTGGTTCTCTTCGCTTCAGCTACGACGCTGTCTATACTCAACAGTACACCAGTCCGACCAACGCCAGCACTAAAGGGACAAATGGTGGATGAGAACAGCACAAGAAAACATTAAAGTTGACTTCTGGGCCCCGTCTTACAAAGAGTTGATATTGATCCGAATCAATATCAAGTCCCTAAATCAATCACAAGTTTGCAGTCTATCATCTCTTATGTACATAGTTGTGATTGATATCAATCACAAATAAGTTGCGGTTGATATCAACTCTTTGTAATACAGGGCCCTGGTATAGATTAAACAATAACAAATAAATACAAATCTTTTTGAGAGCTTTCTCATTTGAGAACAACGATAACAACATTTCCGTCCCTGTATAGCGCAAATCAGTTCGTAATACGTTTTTGTTTCGGCGCTTCCAAATGACTTTGGATATTATTACCCCAAAACTTTAGCTCTGCTAAACGTTGCGCTCAGTGTATTCAATGAATACGTCCTGCCAGCTATGGCGATTATAGATTGATATCTTAATAACCACAAAAAGGTGTTGGTTCGGCATGGATTCGAAACCCGTCCCGTATGGTCCACAGTCTGGAGGTTTAACTCCTAGAAAACAACACCTCCACCTCTCTCATTTTTGTTTGTCGATCATTTTGAAAGAATATCACAGTAAATATATACAATTTCCTATGAAGAGAAATACCGGTAGCTGAAACGTTTTGACAACGCGTTGAGGCCACCTGTCCGTTCAACACCAGCACCGATGTGTAAAATGGTTAATAGGAACAGGCAACAAAATAAATAATTATTCAAAGGAAGGAAGGGTTCTCGTAAAGATGATAAACAATCGAAGGTTTCTTTTCAGGACTACACACCCTCAAGAAAGATAACCGAGAGTCCTTTTCAGGACTCCTCAATCCTCCCCCTTTCTCATCACATGGTGCACCCGCAAGCCTACTGTATTATAGATATACAGTCTCTTTATCTAAATCACCATGCAAGCCGATACTTACAAGCAGCATCTAATCGAAGGTTTCTTTATCATTCTTTGTATGTTAGTTTGAAAGAAGGTCTTAGTAGAAAATACGCTCTGAAAGGTTTGCTCTTCATGCGCCTTTATATTTTGAATTTGACAAGAAATAGCTTAAAAGTTTCATCAAAGCTTTCACGCCAAATACGCGTTTAGTACAATGTACAAATGTGTGGGTGTAGTACATGGTTTTTGTCATTAAGAATGAACTTATTCTTTTCACTTAGATTATTTTACAACTTTACAGTATATGCATTCATTATTATGTACTACGAAAACAACTTTCCTTATTTTTCGCAATGCAGTCGCTTATTTTTTTCACTTGGATTCTTTCACAACTTTACAGTCTTTTCATTAATTAGTATGTACTACAAAATCAAACTGTCCTATTTGGTTCCATTTTCTTGCGCATTACAATCGCTTGTAATACTACTTAATTATAAGTTTGCATCATGGCATTGTGTTAATAATAGAATTTTTTTAATAATTATTATTCATCTATTTGTGTGTGCGTGGGTGCGTATGTGGGGGTGGTAAGGTGTCTCATTTGTTTCCCTATAACAAACTTACATGTACTTAAACATAAACAAACAATTATTTTTTATTAACAAATTGTCGAATTAGTATATATAATTAGTATATAATTTGTATAACAATCTCTGTATGATATGTATAGTGACCTGCAATGAACCAGAAGGGGTGAGCTGTTTTGTCCATGGTCCTTCTTCACCTCAGAGATATACTTCTGCAGAGTAGATGTGCTGTTAGGAACTGCTTTGTCTGGCCACTCCGTGAAGTGAAACTGGTTAACAACCCTGGTCTTCGCCCCCTGAAAAAAACGCAAATAATTATTCCAAAGACTTTCGAGATAGAACTCGACTGATGTGAATGGCTACCCTCTCGTATGGCACGTATAAATCATGATGGTCGGATCAACAGATACTTAGTCGGGTCATGTCTGTCCGTGGTATTGTTCACAATAATGTGATGCACGAAAAGCTATTGCACTTGACTTGGGTGATTTTATTTATTTATTTATTTATTTATTTATTTATTTCTGATATTCAGACAGGGTGACGCATTATCACCAATAATGGTGGTCTTTCATGAGGCCCTGTTAAACATAATGATGTAAATTATACTTTAACAAATATATTAACTGAAAGTTGGTTTCTTGAAAGACTATCGCTCTTGTTTACATGTCCGTGAGATCAGATAAGTCTCCCTTAGTTTATAAATACATAGATGGGCACAGATAATGCAACAATCTCATGAACTCATTGATAACTATGTTGCTATGGAGGATAACAATTCACCTGTCAGTCACAGCAGACCGTATGACGTCATATTAGCCTTGATTCTGACGTGCCAAAGTTTGAAATAAGAAAATTCTCAATAAAAGATACCCCTCCCCCCAAAAAAAATAAAATAAATAAATAAAAAATAATAATAATGTTCATGGACCCTATGAAAACATCACCTCTGTGTTAAAAGAACATTATAGCCATTCACAGTATATGGTGGCAGTGTCTTTTTGGCAGAAAGCTGACGAATAAGAGAGCACGAATGGAAAAAGCAGGATGTATGTAGATACCTTCGTCAAGCTAAGTGTTCGCTTTAGTCCTCCACAACAACTTGCGACAGAACTCAATACCACGACTATGTCCCCAAAGTTTACAGATGTCGACTCCGGCCAGTACTGACGGCATTTAATCTGGTTGATAATGTGATAAGAATAATGTTATACGATTAGTATTATTACAAATCGCAGTTGACTAGGATGACCGCTATAAAATGGACTGTGGTCTGACGGGATATCCCGCTAGCCCGAAAGCCCATGAGAGCGTCAATGCGGTCTAATAAACCTTAATAATTATTGTCAGAAGGCCAACGGGACCGATATGACGGTCGTATAGATGTCGGTCTTATGGGCTGTAACAGTGGATTTTAGGGAAGATGTGTGTTATACCAATAGCCGCTCAGTATTGCCATTAATTATTTGAAACATATCAGCCTCTTGAAACCACTACCATCTGCAACTCACACGTGCATAATTATGCATACCCACATACACTTTTTTTTTTATGAAGCAATTTTGTTTTATTTCTCCAGATGTGTAATACAAACCATAAAATACAATTGAATAAAATAAACGTCTTCAATATTGATTGCTTTTTACATAAACATAATTAAACAAAAACTTATTTGCAGTATATATATAACTTAGCAACAAAGTAAACGTATAAATACCTAAACATAATATAAATGTCAATTGTAAATGTTATTCACTTATATAAAAAAACTTAAACAAACACACGCACACACACACACACGCACACACACACACACACACACGCATACACGCACACATACCCACTGATAAATACGACACCTTAGGCTAAACGAAGATCTATTTAGACTTTGAGAATGACAATTTTAAGTATAACCATATCATGATAATTGGACAGATAATGCGGCCCACCTTTGTTCCCTCTTGGAGTTTTGTTACCATGGCGATTGTGTTTACATTCTCCTGCCACACCATTCGCCAGAAGTCATCCATTGATGCATTATTTGGTCCTATAACATAAAGCGGAGATATGTATTAATAAAAACAAACGGACTGCATCATTTTCAATATATTGTGATGTGAATCCCTATATTGATAAAACAACAGTTTATTTTATGGAGAAAAAAACAAGCCACATCAAATGTAGATTAAAAATTTGTATGAATTTCGCTATGTCATCAACAAAATGTATTTAATTTCTGTTCACTGTGAACTAATATGTTCGAGTCTTGTATTTAAATGTGAGCGCAGGAAATATCCATGTTAAAACGTAAACTTGACAAATCAATACATGATATGAAGATGATAATCAAATCTCAAGGAATATGGGGACCGTGATTTTTCATACATTGCACCATCATCTTTTTGTGGGATGGGCAGTCTATAACACGTCAAATCGTGCCTCAAAGATGACTAATTTGGCGATTATTAAAAATAATACGTTCTTCATTGCAGTAGCCTGCGCCGTTGAAATTTTTTAGAAAAAATGGCACCACATATGTTGTGATTAATCATCGTCATTGGGGACTTTTAGATTGAGTTGACGAGAACGAAGTCCACTGATCATCCGTGTCCATGGCAAGCCGTTCTAACAATTATTCCTATTTCTTGATATCGAGAATTGGATTATTGATATCAAGAAATATGAATAAATGTTAAAACGACTTGGCATAGACACGTATGATCAGTGGACGTTCACGTCGTTCTCGTCCACTCAATCTTAAAGATATTATGTCCCTTTTGCAGCCAACCTCAAATTCTGTAGAACTTTGCAGGAATTATGAATATGTCATGTATATCCTATCTGTGAAATCTAAACGTTAGCAGTGTCCTTATATTCAAATTATGCAAGGAAACCCGTTTACTTGCTAGACTTCACTGTCATACACTATTGTCAGTATTGAGTGACTGGCTGGCCTTTTCTTCTTCTTTGGTAATAACATACATAAAATGAGCTGTACAGGATTTGTCTACTACAATAACCCACTTTCTGTAATGGCCGAAATTAAACTGATTGAATCTTTGCGAAGAATAAAACGTACGACCATGTGGTACAATAGTCTGAAAATCAAGACTATTATTTATTGGCTCTATAGCTCCTAAGTCGATTTGACAACTAATAGTTGTTATTTTTTTCCACTTAAAGACATTTTCAAGCCCCATTTTTTTAAGGAGAGTTCTAAATTAGAATTATCTTTCAAAAGCCATTGGAATTTAACCTTTTCATTTTTTTTTGGCCTGCAAAAGGGACATAGTACCTTTAAAGTCCCCTTTATGTCATATTAGAAGGAAAAATAATTTATACAAAACGATACCAACAAAATATACATCAGTGGAGTATGATTAATTTACCTTGTGACGCGATGTACGCACGCTGATTCCGAAAGCTCTGAAGGGCAGAGAGGGAGAGGAAACAAAAGGTTAAAAGGTGATGTACTAATGCCGAATTCGAGAGCTCTATAGAGGGAATTGTAAACAAATTAAAGAAAAAAAAGTATATTGAAAACAGAATATATTGTTAGATGAGAAAGAGCTAGGTAGAACAACTTTTCAATGCAAACACATTATGGAGATATACGACTACTAATAACACTTATTTTTCAGAATGTAGTTTTGAGGGTGTAACTTGTTTTTGAAACAGATTCTTTATTTACCGGTATGTAAGAAGCATTGAAGTAATCTGAATTCGGGTCATCGTTGGTGATTGCCAGCCTAACCCTTGATGAATCATCTATGACGGAGTTTAAAGAGAGATACAGAGAGATATTTAGTATGAAAATTAGGACACATGGATTTTACATTTCCTCATATGTTGATATTTAAAAAAAAACGAAATAATACGCTTGTCAACTATTTGTATAGCCAGGGGGAGGGGATGTTTCACAAAGATCCGAATTCCAATTAAGATTAAAGTTCGACTTAGGATCTTTGTGGACAGCCCCCCCCCCCCCCCTGGTCTATAATAATGAATTTATCTCTGAAAGATATGGCAGATCTTATAGATAAGAAATATATTAAAATGCATTAGATTAAATCACATCAACGAGGGCATATCCGTATTATTGATAGCATAATCGATAGCTAGAAACTTTTATGTCGCTTCACAAGCACTGCACACATAATTATGTCACCGACGTTAGTTAAATATTATCCGCGTTTCAATGGGATTTCGGCAAACTTTTACTTATGAGGCTCTAATTGTAAAACAATGCCTCATTACCTCCAAAGAAAGTGAATTGACGTTTTGAAAAAGCGTCAGATGTATGATGAGACAACTTACATGGCAGGATGTTCTTGTATCTGTTCTTCTCAAAATTGACCTTCTTCTCCGCAACCGTTTGTGGGAAGATATTTGCCTTCGGTAAGCACTGAGTTAAGAGAGATTCGATTACAATGTTTTCGTACTCATATTATATAAAATGCATTGTAGATCAAATGAGAAGGTTTTTGTCGAGTTTATTTGATTCTATATTGTACCAAGGGGTTGGAATGACACACGATCACAAATACTTTCGAGAAATCAGTTCAATGGTAATTTTTTAGTATCCTACAATGGATTACGAAATACGTCCGTTAACACAATTAACGAGTTCAAATTGTTTGCGCCTAGAAAAATGTAATTACCTGTACAAAAGGCCTTATTTATTTGCGACGTTATGGGTGGGGAATAATGTGTGGTCGCCAACTCCTGTAACTCATGGTAAATATCAGTCATACGGGAAGGCTCATTGAAAGACCAGCTACAATAGTATCATATATTTCTTCTAAGCTTTCAAAACCATTGTGAGCATGTGGATATTCAGGACAGACAAAGGCCACAAGAAACCTGGACAGAAAACGTCTAAAGAAAACAACTTACAAGGAATTCCTCGTAAAACACGTCTGTGTGTCTATTCTTCTGAACGAGGGTAGCAAACTGTGAGAGGGGTATCGGGCGACGCTCCTTTGGCGATTCCTCCGACCTTCTGGATTTCGGTACATCAGCCTCGTCCAAACCGTTTGGAGCCAGTTGTGGTTCAGGCATGGTGGATGGCTTTGGTAGTACCACCGGTTTCCTTGGTGTCACGGTTGGAGACGTCTTTGGTTTATCTGATTTTCCAGTTTCAACTTCTGGATATGTTTAAAGAGGCGAGAAGGTGGGTGTATAGGCAGTGTATCTGACAAGCATAATTTGCATTTGTTTTAATTAGCGAAACGATAGCTAGGCTAGCCTACAGTATCTTGTAAGGCAGAAATATACCTCGAAAAACTAGATGGAACTTCGACTGCGCGCAGTCGAAAATGATGCCTCCGTCATAGAGCAATTTTACAAACCAAAACAGAAGAAATTTTTCGAATTCAAGTTCAATTGTAATCCATTAACAGGTTCTCAGAATATTGTGATTACAAGCTATTTTTGCATACATAATGAGCCAATGACCTTTGACCTTATGAACCAAGAATCTACTCAGTTCATTGGCTCTGCAAGAAACATACATGACCTAAGTTGGCAGGAATCCATCAATCGGTTCTTGAGATAACGCGATCACGAGCTGTTTTGCATACATAATGAGCCCTGTGGCCTTTGACCTTTGACCTCGTGACCTCAAAATCTAATCAGTTTTTCGGCTTTGCAAGTAACATACATGACCAAAGTTTGGCAGCAATCCATCAATCGGTTCTTCAGATAACGCGATCACGAGCTCGTTTTGCATACATAATGAGCCCTGTGACCTTTGACCTTTGACCTCGTGACCCCAAAATCTAATCAGTTCATCGGCTCTACAAGATACATACATGACCAAAGTTTGGCAGGAATCCATCAATCGGTTCTTCAGATAACGCGATCACGAGCTCGTTTTGCATACATAATGAGCCCTGTGACCTTTGACCTTTGACCTCGTGACCCCAAAATCTAATCAGTTCATCGGCTCTACAAGATACATACATGACCAAAGTTTGGCAGGAATCCATCAACCAGTTCTTCAGATAACGCGATCACGAGCTCGTTTTGCATACATAATGAGCCCTGTGACCTTTGACCTTTGACCTCGTAACCCCAAAATCTAATCAGTTCATCGGCTCTACAAGATACATACATGACCAAAGTTTGGCAGGAATCCATCAACCAGTTCTTCAGATAACGCGATCACGAGAACGGGACGTACGTACGTACAGACGTACGTACGTACGTACGTACGGACGTACGGACGGACGTACGGACGGACGGACAACCCGAAAACATAATGCCTCCGGCTACTTCGTAACGGAGGCATAAAAATCATGTATTTTGTAAGCTCTGTGCGGCGAGTATTAGTTTTACAATAATAAATCATTGCCCCAACTGATTGTTAGCATCCCTTGAATTGCCATTTAGACCTGGATACCGGGTATTTTCCATACACGCACTGAAACTAATGTGCGTGATAGGACCAAAGCTGCCATCTGCGATTCTTAGGGATTTGGTGACTTTTGGGGCTCACCCCTCCAAAACAGAAAATGGTAGATGGGTGCAATAATAGTCTATAATTGTCTCCGTATGAAGACATGTCATACTTTTAATTTGACCCGAAATTTTGTTTTAATATTTATTCATAGAACGGCCCTTTTATGTTTATGGTAGGGCGGACTAATATGATTCTTTGCACCAATGTGGTATACCGCCAGGTAACGTCCTTTCGGTCCTGCTTTTGTGTATTTATTTCCTCATCAATTGTCCATAGTAATATCTGTTAGGCCGTCCCTACTCCTATGCGTAGAACTTTAATGTGCGTGGGACCTTTGGCGTTTCAAACTGAAGGGATGTCAGCTGTGCAAATACAAGTTAAGGTGATTGACACTATGAACATGACGGACAAAGAAAGAGGACAAAATATACAGTCCTCATTCTACCCTCAACAATTGCTGGGGTAGACAAAGGAACATCCCTTCACTGCTGAATATGCATGTGACACATGTTCTACACATTTTTTTATATAATAGCAGTGAAGGAATGTTCCTTTGTCTACCACAGCAATTGTTGAGGGTAGAATGAGGACTGTATATTTTGTCCTCTTTCTTTGTCCGTCATTTTAATGTGATTTACATACCTTCGGATAAACCACCGATGTAAACATTATCATCTCTATAGGTGACCGGTTTGGAGACTTCGTTCCGTGGGTTTCTACAATCAAGAATATATGATAAAAATGACAAGAGAGACAATGATAACAATAATGACACTGATGACAGAAACTATAATAATATTAATCACTGTACTACTACTACTACTACTACTATTAACACGAATATTAATGTAATCATGATAATGTTCATAATAATCATGATAATATTCATAATAATCATGATAAAAACAAATCAAATACTAACTTTGATGATACACATCAATATCGAATAATTAAAGGCGCTTCTTACAACAGGCACAAAATGGCTAAAAGTGTTTTGACAGAAAAATACAAACAATACAAAATAATTGATGATATCAAACAATCAGGTAGGAAAAAGATATGTTGTATCGGATCCTTTTGGCGAGAGAAGTTATAAGGTGTTTAGTTGCTCCCCGTTTCTGGCTAACTTTTTTTTTAATAGGCGCGGCGACTTTGATGGAACATTAAGATTAAATTTGCAAATATTGGATCTAATATTATAAAATGATCTACATGTACATATCGCTAGGAAGCAGGGTCTCAAGCATTGCCGAGAAATCAACACAAGGCAAACCATCAACATTGTGAAATGTTCAGACATCGCAGTTACATGATTTCTTGAAAGTCTTCGTGATCTTGTTTGGAAATTAGTTGTGAGATGAGTAAGGGTTTATAGACGTACACATTTTCTTTTAGATAATTGGTTTACCTTCTCCTCCGTAGTACAATGATGATGATGACAATAATCAATAGAACAAAGATTATTCCTCCTATTGCCCCACCAACACTGGCGCCAATTGCAGAAGGGTCGGGAGGTAGTGCTATGGATTAAAGAAGGTGTAAAATACAAACTTTATATGGCAGAAAATTAAGGATACTTATCGATTAATGGTATTTGCTAACTGACGTCTTGTCTCCATTTTATTATGAAAATGTTCGGATATCTCATTAACTAGTCTACGCGGATCATGATGATTATGATAATAACAATAATGATCATAACGATCAAAGAAATTTAAGAATATTTAAAGCTATAATTATAACAATAATCATAAATATGGTGAAATACACTCATCCAAAAAGAAAATACACACACATAAAAAAGTGTTATATAAATCTGGTTCCGACCGAAACCCTATAGCATCACGCTTTTGACAGGACTAAGCCCAGAGCAAATATCGGATCACACCCTAGGACATTTACTATACATCATCCTATATCCTAAAGCCCAATTGCAACCTTAATCCAAACCCTAAACTTTCGACGAAATAAATTCCGATCAATTGTCGCCGGAGCAACTATCGGATCACCAAGGACTCACCTATCTTTATGGTTGTAACACTCAGAGCAGGTCCTTTCTCTCCTTCACCGTTAAGTCCCTCACGAACTGCTGAAATTTGAATCTCATATGCTTGACCATCATCCAGACCAGTCACGTTGTACATCAGTAGCCCTTCATCTTCTTGTCTTCTCTTCCTTGAAGATACAGTCCCTGAGGATTCCATGTCCATCGGAACACCTGATGACGTAATGAAGGTGTTTGTTTCGTCCCCATCTGAAGTAGTAACGTAGACCTTGTACCCAATGATAGGACCTTCACCAACATCAACGTTTTCGGTCCAAGAATCCCAAGCAATGATGACATAGTTGAAACCTAGGTCTGCTACCTCAGGCGCCTTGTTGAAGACCGGGAGAACTGAAAAGAACACGGCAAACGTCAAGGATGCAGTTAAAAAATAACAGTGTCAATATAATGATATGTTAGCGGTTGTAAATCCCAAGTTCCTGATGAAACAGGACTCCTGAACTTAAAATATGGGACCCTGATCGAAAGTTAGGTACAACTTCTTTGAATACAGTATTTTTGTTTTCAATTTAAAAAGGTATTACTTCTTCGGGCAGTAGCCGATATGATCCATTTGGATGAAATTGATCATTTGTCCATATTTCATTTCAAATTTGTATGTAAATGTAAATTCATTTAAAGTCACAAGGCAATCAAGAAAAAATGGGTTTAATTGAATTTTACCTTTCTCACCAAACATAGGTGTTTTTTCTCTCTCTCTCTCTCTCTCTCTCTCTCTCACACACACACACACTCTCTCTCTCTCTCTCTTTGATGGGATTGTTTGAATCCTTTTTTCCAGTTTACTGATACATGTAATCAAAAATGATTTATCATCTGTTTCGTAAATTCATCATTTAAGCACCTACCGAATGTTTCAGGCAGTGGCAACCTGATAAAAGCAAATCCAATGCCACTTGTTGATGTGCCAACTAAACAGTAGATGGGTTGGTTCCCGTTGACATTAACGGAAAACGTAAAGTTTGCTTTTAATGAAAATTGATCAGTAGCAGTACTTGCGGCCTGTGCATTTTCCCAGTTTTCCATTGAGAAATCCCCCACAGTAGCCTTAATGGAAGGGATGTTGCCACTTGTGTCGGTAGAAAATGTGCAGGAAAACATCGCAACACCTGGGTTGGTTTTTTCTCGTGTAATGCTAAAGCGATCTTCAAAGACAAACATTTGTACAATATTAGTCTACAAATACATGGAAAAAACGAATTCACTGTCAAAAGAAAATGATAAGATTTTATGCTCTTTTTATGAGTCGCTAATATAACAGTCCATTGTACTTGCTCAGTCAGTAGAGCGTCGGCCTCACAACCAGGAGGTCGTGGGTTCGAACCCCGGCCGCGTCATACCAAAAGACGTTCAAAGATGGGAGTTGTTGCTACCTTGTTTGGCGTTCAACAATAAGGGATAGAGCAACGTCGATCTCGCGCTGCTCAGTGGCTGCAGGGCTCACGATCAATTGGGCAAAAAGAATTTCCGTTTCGGTTTAATAAAATTTGGAGTGGACTATTAGGCTATTATTATTATGATTATTCTATATTCAACAAAATAAATTGGCCTTTCGATTACAGCCTTTTGATCTTTAAAAAAAATTGGATCAAACTATAAGTATTAGTTGCACTGCTTACTGAACTTCGTGTTGTAATCAATAGTTATAACTAACTTTTCAAGGAATTTATGCATATCATTTCTTGCATTTTATTGAGCGCTGCAGTGTTGTTCTGGTAAAATTGATAGCATGTATTTTTTAAAATCTGAAGTTGAAATATTCGTTCGTTATTAAATGAGGTGACCAGTCATCTCTTTGAATTATTTCAAAAAATAAGCAACCCTCAACTTATCATGTTATCTCTAAGTTCATTTCATTTCAATCAAGTTCAGGCTTTGTGTTTCTCTCATGAGAATACAAGTTGATACCCACCTACGTTATCTGTTTATAAATATCGTATGGAGCAGAAGTATGGACATTAGACCAAACAAAGACTATGAGAAAAAAATACAGCATTGAAAATTGGGTGTACAGGAAAGTGATGAGAATATCATGAAAAAGATAAATTCAAAATAAAATAGCGACAGGAATTATGAAACAAAATATCCTCAGGCTGAAAAGAATGGTTCAAGATAGTAAGGTGAAATACTTTGGCCACATTTAACATCAGACATCAGACTCACTTCGAGATGAAGGATTTCTTGAAATAAAAGCTAGAAGGTAGCAGAACAAGAGTGAAAACCAAGAACCAACAAGTATGGGAACATTAAGACAGGGAGTTGAATGACACTGCCAGGGTGTACAAGAATGGCAGAGAACAGAGATGTGTGAACAAATGCTTCAATTAACCTCCGAGTTGGGATAACATACCGTGATAGATAGATAAGTAAATAGTACTAACCAGTTTGACATTTGTCTCCCATCCATCGTGGATGGCATGTACCTTGAGAGCACGTCCCGGTCACCTGGTTGCAGTCCTCGACACCACCAGCACAGTGGCATGTCTTAGAACAAGACTCGAAACATCCAGCAACTAAATTAAGTAACATATCGGATGAGTGGAAAGAACAAGTGAGTAAAAGCGATTGGAAGAAAAGCAGTTTCAAAATGTTGCATTCACAACATTCAGTTTTCATTACGACTTTCCTTAAAGTGCATTTTGAATATTAATACTATTAATTACAGAATTAAATATTGCACGAGGGAATATCAAGCTAAACTACTGGAACGTCTGGGTCCCACCTTCCAGTGAAAGTGATTGGGATGTGCAGGTGTGACTGTGGTGTTTGGGGTTTCCCTATTCATTATTATCTTGAACCCAGAATGCAGTGCGTTTCCAATGTCTTCAGCTTCGCGGTGACTGAACAACCGCCCAGGCTGGTGGTTGTGATTACCAACATTTACGCTGAAGCTGGTAGTGCATGGCAAAGTTATTTGAACGGTTAACATCAACGTCTTAATAATTGGGCAATAAGTTGCTGCTGCAGTAAAGTGATTATATTTGTGATTGGTTCTTGTGACAATACAACTCTTAATAAGGCAGTTTTCGCAAGGTTAATCTCAATTCATGAAGCACAAAAATAATATTTGCGTTTATGCACGAATGTAAAATTCACAGGCCCCCGGTATATTCTAGGTTACTGCCAATATCAATCGCTGTGTTATAATTGTCCTTAGCTTCAGTAAAATGTCTTACATGTGACACATCCATCTGGTCTCTGTGGAGAGTCGGCAACATAGCCAATCTCACATTGTCCTCCCGATGATGTACAGAAACCAGAGTCCTTCTCACATTTCGAGTACTCAGGACAGTTACATAACTCTGTGCAATTTATTCCAAAATAACCGACTGGACAGACGGAGGGAACTGCGAAGATAGTATGTGTATTCAAAGATAGAGATATCATTATAATGATATAAACAATACCAACGATATAAATAACATAATCAATAACAATAATAATGAATATAAACGACACAATTATTTTGAATGCATAGATCTGAGATTTCTCTAGTAAAACCCTTCCCGATAGTCATTTACCTGATGTCATTTCAAGGTTTCCCGACACACTATGGAGGCAACTTTTTAACTCCATTGAAAGCATTCCAGCCAGGCGCCCTTTTAGAGACATCCAAAATACTGAACAAACCACAATAACTTAAACAAAATGTTTCATCACTACTGTTCTTATCAAAGGAGAATACTCAAATGGGAGGGCAGCGAAATCTTTGTCTGCACGCACATATTCTATTTTGATAAACAGATTTTTTTTTTATCACTACCTTGCCTAGCTATAAGAGTTTAAGGCTTTCCCAAAGGTAGGTACAGTACAGAGCCTATGAAGTGCAGTAGATCATGCAATCTACATAGTCTTGTAGTTCAGACACTGTTCCACATTACGAATGACTATGGATAAAGAGACCAATGATCTGACAGTATTGTCCGGTGATATATGTATTAGATTGTATACCCACCAATGGACATCATGATTGGAGATATTCTCGACCAACATGGACACCACAACATCCTGCCAAAACTTAATGCGACCTGGCCTACCCTGTCATTAAACAGGGAAAGTCTAAGACAAAGTTATAGTTGCAACCCATTAAATACAATCATGTACATTTCAGCTACCTAACATGCATGACCAACGGATACAGAAGATATGTGTTTATATTATTATATACCAGCAAGTCCACCAAAGGAAGTAGGCATACCTTGACACCCTTCTCCTGACCAACCATCCTCACAGTCTCCCTCACATCTTCCTGTGAATGCATTGCATGGCATCCCTCCTGCACAGTGGCAATCCTGAAGGCAGTCCACACCAAACCTACCCGGAATGCATTCTGAAATTAGATTCATGACAGTAAAAACGGAATTAAAGATAAAGTTGAGTTTTGGTCATGCAATTTCATTGTGAAAGAAACAGTGTGGAATCGATCAGAAAAGGTTGACCATGTAGCATATAACTATTGGCGTGTAGGCCTACTGCAAGGTTTCGAAATCATCAAAATGATTAGAAATTTGGCCAAGTCTTGGTAAAGTTACAAGCACTGTACACACCATGATGTAAATAGGGCTACACGAACATGTGGCTTAAAAATCCGTCTAGATGTTTACGTTGCTACATGCCATATTTAGAATATGAAAGCATTTGAAGAACCATGCTTTTCAGGGAACATTTTCTATCTGATGTTCTTCCAAAGTTGCATGATAACCATGATAACGCTCACAAATTATGTTTTACCTCTTCCAAGAACTCAGCCTTTTCTTTAAAGATAAGAGAAATAAACACATTTTAAAAGGGTCATTCCCTGGTCACAGTGACAAATTTAATGGCATTCAGCACCAAAATTTAATGCAGAACATCCTAGATATTAAATTCACGACAAATGATTTTGAACATTCATCCCACCTGCAGATAAAATAATCTTAGAGGCAGTTTAAATCGGGCGTTCGTGAACACAAGGATAATTTTTTTATTTTTTTTATTTGACGGTAAATCCTTTGCAAAATAAATATAAATAAGAAAAGTAATGCTCTTCGAATTTCAACAGCAGTCCCAAATTTTTTTATTGTGTAATTGTATTAAACAATTCAAACGATGTGTTAGTCTTTTGAAAATCTTGTGATCGTTTTTATTTTGCATTAATGTATCTTACGTTTATCGCAGTATATTCCTGTATAACCAGCCAGGCAGTTGCATCCGTAGGGATCGGGTAGACACACCTGGCTTCCACTGCATTCTTGTAGAGCATTCCCAGCTCCACATTCTAGTTCACACTCCCATCCAAATCGGTTTTCACCGCATGCTGTGTAACAACAAATTTAGGAAAAACATACTTAATCATGTTCTTACTTACTATATGCAGCCCCTGCACTTGAATTTTTGATGCAAGATATCAAACAAATATACCATGCCTTCTATTCGAGGTACTTCGTGCCTGCGCCCCTCAGCAAATAGTACTATTGGAGTCACCTCTTGCGCATAGTTTTAACCAGAACCTCTCAAGACAGTGTATATTTGTACATATGAAGGTACCCTATACTCCCCACGCCCCTCATCCTTCGAAAGGGGGGGGGGTAGAAGGACAAAAAGGATTGGTAAACATTAGCACGCTGAGAATAATTATTGGTCAAGGTTTACCGGTTTTGTCTAATTCATTGTTTGGACTGCATACAATGAAATCTAGACAGATAATAACTCAGATGTACATAACATGTATAGAATATTTCTTTTTGATATCATTAACTCAATTTACATCAAGATAAAATATGTGGTCTCTCATATTTTCGCAAAAAGCCAGAGTAACTGAACAGTGAGCGTTTTCATTCAGAACTGAAACTGCAAACTTCAGTTGCAATGAAAATACAAAGAGGGTGTGGGCGTAACAGCGTGTGTGTTTGCCTGTGTGCGTTTCTTTCCGTGCGTGTTTATGTTCATGAGTTTAGCATTGCATATCACAAATAAGTTGTGAACACTGTTGTGCAATAGGTGGGACTCATACTATGATTTCTGTGTATACTAAGGTGTTTACTTCGCCATAGAGGAAACATTTGGACGTCTCACCAGTAAGACAGTTTTTGCCCATGAATCCTGGAGGACAGATACAGGTTCCTGATTGAGGATGACAAATCCCTCCATTGTAGCAATTATCACATAGACGATCACAGGATGGAATATTCCATCGGCCACTCGGACAATCTATAGGAATAAAGTGGAATCAATATGGCATAATCTTTGGTTGAATCTTGAATTTTATATATTTGTCTCACAAAAGTATAATGATTGGGTATAGGGCTAGTAAGAAAATACAGTTACAGTGCTTTTATCTTTACGTAGGGCAATCTTCAAAGTGTATGGAGCTCAATAATACCAACAAATTGTAAAGTTCAAGAAATTTTTATCGACTTCTAGTTATAGTACACTGTTTGAAACTAATGTTATGGTCGTAATTCCTTCAGATAGTATCATCATTTTCAAATTATAATAAAACGTATTTTTGAAGAAAGGAACGAAATTACAGAGAGATTTTCTTTATATATTTTTCAAATTATTAGAACAACGGAATGGATAAAACGAAATTCTAGTCTTACCACTGACAATGACGCGAATCAAGCTGTACATTAGATTTTCAACCATGCCGTTTTGAACCGTTCCGTGAACATCAGCATTTGTCTTCGTTGCCGATCGAATGGTATAGGTCAGAGTCCTGTCTCCCTCTGGAGACAAAGATCCTTCAGCGAGGTTTGAGAAAGTCCTCCATCGGATTTCATCTTCACCTGCTGTGTACGTATCCGTGGTAGAAACTGAGAGTGTGATGTCGTCACCTGGATAAATCGTTTTCGTGAGACGGCCGTCAGTTGGTTGAAAATGTCCTGGAAAAAGAAGAAAGGAAGAAGTGAAGAGGGCTTCTTACTATAAAGTATGAACTATATAAACGATTGATAATGAAACATAATTTATAAAAAAATAAAAAAAGGCTTCCTACTATAAGTACTAAGTGTGGATAAGGTACGATTGGATTGGTAATGACACAAACCACAGATCTGTCATGAACTGTCTGAATAATTAAAGCTAGAAAGCTCATATTAGGTACTAGTATTCTAAAAAGAGGTTTTGCTAGTCGGAACCTTGATATATATTTCGCCTTCTCTCTCAATGTGCAAAAAACACTCCAATCATGCAACAACAAAAAACAAAACAAAACATGACAAGTTTCGAAATGTGAACTTCATAAGTGTGAGCTTTATGCAGTGGTTAGGATGATGAAGACAATGGCGTCGATGCCGGTTATGATGATAGTGCTTCTGACTATTTATATGGCGCCATATTTATGTTAAATACATTTAAAGACTCAGAATGTCCTAAGTTTAAGAACAAAATATGTGGTAAGGTTTTTTTAAAGTTATTTATTAATATGTCAGTTCTATTCTCAAGCACTCTTTACTCGATTGCAAATTTAATTATACTTACTGTCTTTTGAGAGAATTGTTACATCTGCTGATGTTGAAATACCAGTAGTTGTAGATGTACTCGAGCACTTATAAAGACCAACGGATGTCACATCACCAGGTAGATCCTGTATTAATCCACCTGTCTGAGTTGTTTTAGTGCCCGGGACGTCCAGTGTATACCCCTCTGTGGTGAGGCTCTGTACAATTACTCGCTCAGTGTAGCTTACAGTGTCGTCTGTGTTGTCAGGAGGGCTAAGTATGCAGGAGAAACGTGGAGTAGCTCCCGAACTCCCGAAAGGTGTTGACGTCATGGCGAGTAGATGGAGTGGTGGGGCTGGGTAGAGAGATTATCAGAAAGAAAGATTGTTGGTAATAATGCATTACCCAATTTCTCTCTTAAGTGTGTTTCTATATTGGTTGAGAATAAGAAGGGCATTTCATATTCTTACCGATGAAATATTTATACATGTGCCTCGCTTATTATTCATTTGTAATATGTAATCCAACTCCACCCCTCCCCTCTAAAACCGTTACTTAGTGTATTGAAAATATCTGCCTATTTCGCCCTTCAGTCATTAAAAAAATATATGTTTCCTGTGTCACGGCTATCATGCATAGGAATTTATGACATGAAATTGTACATATGTATATATATAAATAATTCATAAAATAGTGTGTGGCAAAAATAGTCAACTGTGACTGATTGCCAAACAAAAACAAATCAAGAAGAAGAAGAAGAAGAGAAAGTTTAGTGGACAACACCTGTCAATGTATACGGTAAACTCCAAATCGCTACCCAAGTTCTGGTAATTCTAATGCTGATATTTATTAATTTCCCAATATTCTTTGTCTTCAATTTGCAGGAAAAAAATTAAACATGGCTTGGCCATCGAATTCAGCTGATATTTGAGACTAATAGTGACTTCCTTAAATGTAAAAGCATTTATTCGATTGATGTTTACTTGAGAATGGATACGAATGTCATTTATTTATCTTTATTCAAAGTTCCAGCAGACACCTTAGTAGAAATAAAAAAAGTTAGGTCACATTTTATCACTGCTATCACATTATTTAGTTGATATTTAAATAACATGACATACCCTCTGATTTCTCGCAGACAAACCTTCTTGATTGTCCGCTACAAGGTAGGTCATTCCAGCCGCTGTTTGTCGTTTCTACACAGTGTTCTTTCCCACGTTGATTATTTAGATTCCCGCCAGTGAATCTGCACATTCGAAGTTATAAACGTTTCTTTATATTGCATTTGTTTAAAATTTGTGGTACTGTGAAGAATGAAATATCAAGAATTAGCTTACCTTTGATGTTAAACAAGCAAACACAGAAAATATATGTTGGAAACAACGTATTAAAACTAGTGAAATAGCAGTTCTCTTATTAAATCAATCCAGAACAATAACAAATAACAATTTATAGGGGTAGCTTAACAGAAAAAAAGCTGAAAGCCCTAATCTACGCAACAGTAATCGTCAGAAGGAAAAATTGGTTCCATGAGCTGTAAATATGTTACTACAATGCAGGCGCATACGGAGGGGATGGGGGTGTGGGGGGTTAAACACCCCCCTTCGGTTTTTTATGTGTGTATTTTGGAACAACCCCCCCCCTACCTATTGTTTTTAATCGTAAACTTTTTACACGTAAACCAACGGGGATCTAAGCAAAATTTATTTATGCGGCCCGTTACCCTTGGCAATGAGCATCTTTTAAAAACTATTGACCGATAGAATCAATACTCCAATTCGACCAATCAGATGACTAGATGTATTCAACATCCTATATAAAGAGAGGTATATCATAGTCACTAATCAAGACCGGCAATGGTTAATGGACAGTGGCATTATGTTGCACAAAGCAATCCTTCTCCTAATTGGTACCTATTGTTTTGTATAAAAATGCGTGTGTGGTAAACGGGCGACCGTGCAGATCTAGAGGTGAAGTGTGAAATTAGTATGAAATGTGGATGAATCGTTGTTTACTCTACAACCAGTTTCGTTTAACAGCCAATAGTCTATTCCCATACGGTCTACACCAGCTCTGTCTCATCCCGATGTGGTCTAATCATCATTTTGGCTACTTATCATTTGGTCTTATTCCAAGTTTGTATAATGGCCATTCGTCTTCTATCCATATGGTTTAATAATCATTCAATCATAATTATTGATATTCATCAAATGATTATTAGACCTTGTGGATGGAAGACAAAATTGACATTAGACAAACTTGGAATTAGACCGACTTGAAATTAGAGTAAATGAGCGATAGACCAAAAGGGTAGTAGATTTATTGGAGATTGGACCGATTTGAATTTAGACCACGTGATTATTAGCGCAAATGGTCATTAGACAAAATGATAGGTTGACAAAATGATTATTAGACCATGTAGATAGTACACATGGTGGGTTTAGACCATATAGACCAATCGGGTAGCAGACGAACTGGTTGTAGATAAAAGACTATAAACCATGTACTGTTTATACATCTATCTCGAAATGCCCAAGCAAAGAGAGAGGGAGGGTGGGGATGGGGATATGGGTAGAGGGAGATGGAGAGAGAGAGAGAGAGAAAAAGGGGAAAAAGAGAGAGAGGAAGGAGGGGAGGGAAAGAGAGAGAGAGAGAGATGGGAAAGAGAAAGAGAGAGAGAGGGAATACAATATCATCTTACCCTGTATTTCTTAATAGCGTTCCATCAGCCCATCGGAAATCGCCTTCCTTGCTCAGATCATCAAGCCCGAACCAAAATCTTCCGTTTCCGATATTTCCAAATTGATTTCTCACTGCTGACTGTATTATTAAGAAAACAAAAACAATTTTCTATTTTATTTCCAGTGAATTTCTCGTCATAAATGGAAGTTTGAAGTATTTATATTAGAAAACGTACACAAATAGCAATTAATATGATCAAGGAGACCTTGATATAAGTGGGTCGTGATATATGATTTGAAGGCACATGGTCCGGCGACAATCACATCGTGGTTGATTTAATTGAATTGTATCATTTAAATAAACATGACACGCAGTTCAAGGCTGATTTTGTGTTTATTTTATCAAAGAAACCGAAACATATTCAAATATTGATATAAAATAAAATAATAAATGATAGAAAAGGGTTGGATTGATTACCGTTTCGGTGATGACACTGTTTCCAAACATAATGTAACCATGTTGAATATTCTAAAGATTAGGAATAAACTACGCAAGTTTAGGGAAGTTCTATACGCTTTATTTCTAATCAGGTAATGACTCCTTTAATTCGTTTCTTCTTTTGTAGCTTTAAAATCTACATAGATATAGGTTATGCATTAGAGCAACCCTTTTTTAAACATCAACTCTAGAGGGCATGTCTCTTTAAAAGTTATGAGTCCAATCGGAAGTGATCTTGTACAGTCGTTGCATGAAAGCGAGTATTTGTGGCCTTGTATGTTTTATCCAGTCTGAAAAAACACAACTTACAGAAATATTTGATGTTTTTAACTGCGCAAGCTGTCCACCTATTTGATGACAAAATTCCCGTGCATTGAAAAAGCTTGTGTCCAAGGTTGAAATTAAATATTGCACGTTTTGCACTCCTGATATATATGTCCATTGTCCAGTTGGTACTGTGAAAGAACAAATGAAAAAATATTTTAGCAAAGGCACCTGAAAAAAATCAAAGAGAAACTAAATATTTAGAAAAGAGGAAAATGTCACAGGAGTGCCTTCTTGACCGTCCGAAAAACCATCTTAACGCTGTGGTAAAATGACATTTGAAGTTCGGACAATAAATTGGCAACATTAAATGAGGCATTATCATGATAATGATAGGTTGTAGTTCTGCGGCTTTGGTCACTCATTCTCCCTTCGCATTGGAAACAAACTACGTGCCAGAAAATTTTGATTAGTGAAATTCTTAAAAATCGCTAAAAGATTATTTATTCTCTTGTCTTTTTCAACAAGATTGGTCCGACAGCCCTCCCCTCTTTAGATCTGATATAGCAATGTCCCTGCTCTCAAGGCATGCTCTGCCTGGGTTCACTAATTTATTGACTGTACGCTCTCTATACTCTCCTCAAATTAACCGTTAGTTACCTTGTGGTCTCTCACAGATGTACGGCAGTGTGTCCCCACAAGATCTACCGTCCCATTGACCATGATTGTCAGCGTCATTCCCATCAGACCACAAACACGCGCAGGCTTGCCCAGTAGAACTTGGCTCTCCAGGAGCCCAGATAGGGTTACTAAAATGTAAAAGTCAATATTACAGGTTATTCGGGTCATGTAATGAATAATCTAGAGCTTGTTGATAACAACATATAATTGTTTTCTTTCTGTGTTTCCACGCTATAAGAGAAACAAATTTGTATTAACAATTCACAGGATGACGAAAATAATATAAATACAGTTGTAAAAAATGAATATGAAACAGCAATGTTGGCATAGATGGCGGCAATGGAAAATTCCATTATATGCCACGCATTTTCCAATAACCTCCAATGATTTTGTATTTGCTTATTTGGATTTGTATGGGTATCGCAAATGTGTTACCATGTTTCAGATGTGTTTCGTTTTGATAACTTGTATATGTTTATTTCATTGTGTGTGTTAGTAAGGGCGTGTGAGCATGGATCTACTCGTTGAGTGATTTCAAGTTCGGTGTTGAAAGCTGGTATTGGTGTTGTGAGAACACCAACACCAGCTACAACACTGAACTTGAAAGTCATGCTGGTGTTGAGGTTGACCTCAGAAAATGTGACGCATTTCCGGTAGTCTGTGTTGAGGGCTGGTGTTGAATGTTGTCTGCTGAACCGAGTATCTCGGTTGGTGTTGACGATTTACGTGTAATTTTCCCATTCACCAACACCAGCCCCTAGAGATTGGGAAATTCATGATTTCAAGTTCAGTGTTGGTGTTGGTGTTGCAGTATACCGCATGTTATTAAGCGGGCATCTGTCACGAATCTCACGATCAAGCTAAGGTAAAATCCATTTTCCAGCCAAAGCAACTGTAAATCATGGGAGCTCAATATGTTTTTTTATAAGAGAAATTATATTTTCTCTATTCATTTTTTGAATATGACTTTATAGTTGATATTCGATATGATGTAATTTATTGGAATTTCTGATTGGAGTATGCTTTTATCACAAAATTTTTCTCCTTTAGAGAAGGACGTCACTCGGTGTTAAGGGTTGTGTTGAGCTTTCGATGACGTGATCGGTATCGCCTTCTAAAACAAAAATAAACCGACCGTCGATGTTGGAGCTCGGTTCTCCAGCCTTTCCACGCTCTCAACACCAACACCGAACACCGTACTTGAAATCACTCACTGTAGGTCCATGGTGTAGGTGTGCATGTGTGGAGGGTGTAATGCCTCAGTCATACCTTTGCGTATTGCTACGTATTTATGACAAGCCGTTCTAACATTTATTTATATTGCTTGATATCAAGAATTGAATTCTTGATATCTAGAATTGCCATTGCTTTACAACAGAAAATCGTTTATTTCTTAATATCAAGAGATAAAAAATAAATGTTAAAACGGCTTGCCATAAATACACATCAATACGCAAGCCCAATAGTGTGCCTGAGGCATAGGTGTGTTAGGCGGTGCGTGCGTTTGTGTACGTGTCTGTAAACCGTTCAACAGCATTTCACATGATAGATATGCGCTGCCAGTTTTGCCCAGCAAAACAAAAACAAAAGCCATAGAATATCACCTTATTTGAGTTACATCATTCCAAGTGAATGGCTCAGCATCCGCACTTCGACTTAGACCGAACCAGTAACAAGCAGGCGATGAAAGGGCAGGCGATACAATCGATGTTAGGAACGTCTGTATAATAATTAACAATTCATTTAACATAACACTGATCAAAAGATGACTGCATTAAATACGACATATCATACAGAGTCTTCTTCCGTCGTATAATGTTGAGATTTGGATTTCGTGAAAATCTGTTGGAAGCCAATTGTCAGATTGTTAAAATATTTTCTTCAGTCTTTTAGGGAAAAAAGGGACGACACAGCTTGAGATGATCTTACCAAATTGAATGATATATTTTCATATTCCGATAGGACCGTTCTCATTTTTGAACTCTCATTGTTTTGTTGTATTGAAATTTTAAAAAAGGTAAAAACCTGTTGTTCTTTTGAAATCACGATAAACAAAACATCATCTGTTTAATGTAGTCCACACTGATTTTGAATTAAATTAAAATTGACATTTATTTCCGTCTCAAGATATTAACAACAATTGCGGTAAACAATAAACAAATATAAAGATTTTTTTTAAAAGATCAGAAAATCGAAGGGGACGAAACTGTGAGTGATTATGGGAAAACATCTATTACGTGTAGGCCTAAACATAGAAAAGGTTTGCGATATCTTCAAAATGCTGGTACCTCAGAATGAGCTTTTTGGGGTGGCGTTATTTTTCTCCCTCGGTTGTAAAGAACCGTTTACATTAATTAACGTTACTTTGACACTTACATATCATTTTTTCTTGTGCATTACATTATTAATTTGACTGCATGGTTGATAATCATAACCCGTAGAGGTGTCGTGGTCAAGTGGATATAGTCTCCGGGCTTCGAAAATAACTGCCACATTTTTCGGCGGACATAAAGCTACATTTGACACACCCAGGCCAGCTGAGGTAATATTCTAGAGAGTCGTTAGAGCAGTCGTGTTAAGGCGCGGGTCATGAGGAGCGCCAGGAGTGTCAACCCTGACGGACAAGAAACCACTGTTAGCAGTAATAGTATCAATAAATCAAAATATATTTTTCTCACATGCATAGAAAAATGTTACTTTTATTATTGAGTCGCTAATAAAGTGAAAAATGTGACGAAAATTGATTGCATACTTTTGATTTATGCTTAATCTGGAATTAGACGATGTGGTTCATATACAAATATAGCGCCTTAAACGGAAACAAAAATGTGATTATACGTAATAATAGTTGCAATCGAACTTACGTTAAGTTCTGCTGATCCGATAATTGCCAATCTCCCACCGTTATCCGTACACTTTGTCTTGGCTTGATCAAAAGTTTTCCTATCCCCCATGAAGCGATAAAATGACTGCCCGAACTGGTGCCAAGAACAACGTGAATCTGCCAAATGAAACGCTGATTATTTGTACTGATAACCATTCTTCTATTGACCAAAGTGTCCATAACTGGTAAGACATTAATCTACACTTGCCACTCTTCACCCAGGTACCTGTTAACGGTAAGAAAGAATATCCTTGAATGCTGTGAGCATTGAATTCCGTAGTCTAGGTAAAGCCGGGGTAATGATTAAGCGCATTAAATACCATGCGTGGTGGGTATGTGCGCTAGAAACTTTCTAATTGCCCCCGATGAATCTATCCCGGCTAATGAACCGGTAGCAGCAGATTAAAATTAAAAACTGAAATTACAGGCTTGCTATGCTTTCTTAATCTAATTCTACACACAACATCTCCAAAAACGAAAGGCAAACTTTTGAAATATCTGAAGATATAATTTCCCATCGCCTTTCTCCCAGCGGTGAATGGCAAGTACCCAGTCGATTTTGTCAAAGCGACACAACCAGGGCGTAAATCCGGGGGGGGGGGGGGGGTGGGGGGAGGGCTGCATACCCCCTGGCTTGAGGTAGGGGGTGGCCTGTACAAACATCCCCCCTGATATTACAAAAAAAGAGAGAAAAAAAAGGAAGAAGAAGAAGAAAAAAAAGTGATTGTTTCAATTTCAGCATAATGCATGAGAAATGAGTTATTTTGTTATGTATGTATAGCCTACACGTATACAGTATGTCACGATCGTTAAAGATAAACTCCAGTACTGGTAATAAAAAAAAAATAATTCTCACAGAATCAAACAAAACTTACACTGAATGTTCAAGATTACAAATAAATGACATGTGCCAAACAATTTTGGAAGAAAATGTATACTGGCTGAGTAATGAGCATAGAAAGACAAGGAAATCAAGGTAGTACTAGCCCCGACACCATGTGTGTTGTCCCATATATAGCTTTATATGTGAGTGCTTGTTACTTTACCAAGACTCGGTCAAATTTATTATGATTTTGATGACTCCAGAACCTTGCAGTGCACACCAATACTTACATACTACATGATCAACTGTTTCTGATCCTTTCCACACCTTTTCTTTCACAATGCAATCGCATTACCAGTACTAAAGTTTATCTTTAAGAGTAGTTGCGCGACGTGCGCGAACAAGCACTTCATAAACTTCAGAATAATTTTTCGTTATTTTGCAAGGTATTATTATAACCCAGACGTAAAGTGCGTCAGCGCGCGAGCGCTTAAAAAGTGCAATCATGTACAGTACATGCTCAGCTCCCCCCACTCAGTGTTATTTTGGGTACGCGTATGCTCGTTCATTCCCTTTGAAAGCACCCCCCCCCCCTCTCAGGACTGCCAACATTTCTGAATCCCCTTTCGCCGGCTTTTCGCCGGCTTTTCTTGCCTTGGAGACCCCCCCCCCCCAAAAAAAAAAAAAAAAAAAAAAAAAAAAAATCCGGAACACTGCTAAATGTACCACCCCCCCCCCCAATTTCAGGTGAGCCCTAGTCCATCGAGGGGGACTGGGGGCCAATGTGTTTACTTTTCAAAATGAAATAATCCTGAATGAGCTTTCAAAGCTAGCAGGAATGTTAGGAATTTGATCTCGGGATTTGATCAATTTTTCTATGATATTCAAGATATTATATAACCCCCTTTTCAAAGAAATCTCCGGGTGAAAAGTCAAATACACCCCCTTTTTTACAATTCTCGGGCCGGATTTTGTCGCGCGAAAAAGTACCCCTTTCCTGGAGATTTTAGGAACGCGCATGCGGTCCCTCCGACCTCGGAGTGTGTGTGTGTGTGGGGGGGGGGGTAGAAGAAGACTGAAGTTCCAGACCTAGCGTGTTCAAGACTTATAGTGGCCGTTTGTCTCTTCAGTTATTTCAAGGTAAGCCTATACACATTCTTATTATTTTTATATTTGAGAAAGGATTTGCCTGAGGAAATTAAAGAATTCATTAGATTTAATTAATAAACAAAGTACATGTATCATTATATGAATTCCAGAAACATTTTTAAGAGGTATGAAAACTGTGAACGCATCTGATTGAGAGTGATAAATAATACGGTAACTATTGCATTTCCCAAATCCTACTCGGTGGTTGTCATTTGTTCACACCTAAAACTTAAGGGACGAGGGGATGATATTTAAGGGCTGCAATGCATGTGACATTTGTGTAGGTCTATGAATGAATTAATTTGTTTTTTTTATTGAATGAATTGAATCGAATTCAGATAAATAGGGCTTAATAAGAGTCGTAAACGGTGCAACGAATCGTCTTCTTTCTATAATAATTAAATCAAACGTCTAAGCTTTTCGCGCTTCGCGCGGGAAGGGGGAAACTGAATTCGGACAAGGATTAAGAGTCGAGAACAGTTCACCAATCGTCTGCTTTCTCTAATAATTTAAAGAAAAGTCCAAGCTTCCGCGCTTCGCGCGAAAGGGGGAAACTGAATTCAGATAAATAGGGCTTAATAAGAGTCGAAAACGGCGCAACGAATCGTCTTCTTTCTATAATAATTAAATCAAACGTCTATAAGCTTTTCGCGCTTCGCGCGGGAAGGGGGGGGGGGAAACTGAATTCAGTCAAGGATTAAGAGTCGAGAACAGTACACCCAATCATCTGCTTTCTCTAATAATTTAAGGAAACGTCAAGGCTTCCGCGCTTCGCGCGAGAGGGGGAAACTGAATTAAGATTTTATTAAGAGTCGAAAACAGTACAACAAATCGTCTGCTTTCTCTAATAATTTAATGAAACGTCAAAACTTCCGCGCTTTGCGCGGGAGGGGTAAACTAAATTCAGAGAAAGATTAAGATTCGAGCACGGTCTAACAAATCGTCTACTTTCTCTAATAATTTAATGAAACGTCAAAACTTCCGCACTTTGCGCGGGAGGGGTAAACCGAATTCAGACAAAGATTAAAGGTAACGACCAGATATAGTCATGCGATTGCATTGTGAAAGAAACGTTGTGGAATCGATCAGAAAAGGTTGATCATTTAGCATCTACATGTAGCATCTGCAAGGTTCTGGAATCATCAAAATGATAAGAAATTGGGCCCATTCTTCGTAAAGTTACAAGCACTATAAACAGAAAGATGTACATGGGACTACCCTATATCTCTCACAGACCATGAGAGAAACAAATTTATTAAATATATGAATTAGTAGGCGGTTTCCCGACAAATTTTTTATCATCATGTATTAGTCAAAACATATTCTTTCACATGATTGGTAATGAGAGCTTCCATTTCATTTTTTGAAATTGGGGCGTTTCCAATACTGGTCTTTACCTTTAAGAGTCGAGCACGGTTTAACAAATCGTCTACTTTCCCTTATAATTTAATGAAATGCCAAAGCTTCCGCGCTTCGCGCGGGAGTGTGTGTATGTGTGTGTTGTGTGTTTGTGCGTGCGCGATCGCGCGCGCTTGCGTAAATTAGTGTGGGCGTGTGCTCGTGCTAGTATGTGATGGCTATCGCCGATCATCCCCCCCCCCCCCCACTACTCGGTACGGATTTACGCCCCTGGACACAAATGATCAATAGTGGGGATCCAGACCTTGGCCTCCGGAGGGGCAAACCTTGGTTTGCGTTTCAAGGGGGGTGGGAAGAAAGAGCGCATATTCTGGATCCGTTTCCCCTATTCTGCTTGTCCAGAATCTGGCCTATTTAAAGGGCAGTAAGTCCACTTCAAAAATAACTTACTTTCAATAGAAGCAGACAAATCAGACAAACCAATCAAAACAAGTTTGAGCAAAATCAGATAACTAATAAGAAAGCTATGACTTTTTAAAACAAGGATGTCAATTCATGGAACAATGGAAATCACTACACAAATTGCCAATTTGGTTATCAGTTTGTGACGTCATGTCCTCAGTATTTATCAATTGCTTTATATATTTTAATCCCATTAATTTCCCTTTTTTAAATTGATTTTTATATAAAAACTTTATCAAAACTCACATTTTTCATGATTTAACTGAAAAAAAACTATTCCATATTAGTGCATCCACACGAAAACTTAATTTACTATCAATCTAACTTGGATGCTGGTGTGAAGATTAAAATTCTTAGGGGGATTAGGAAATTTATATAATCAATATAAAGAAAACAATAAGTGAATCGTGAGGCAATGACGTCACAGACTTATGAGTGAGTTGCCAATTTGTCTTGTGATTTTTAAAGTTTTTCATGTCATTAAATATTCAATAACTTTTTCATTAGTTACCAGATTTTGCTCAAACGTTTTTTTGATTGGCTCGTAGTGATCTTTCTGCTTTTATTGAAAGTTTTTTTTTTTTGGCTGATCGCTACTTGTTTTGTTAATGTTTTTTTTTTATAAGGGGATGCATTTTGTTTCCTTGTTGGGCATCTGTCAATAGGCATATTGCTCTTTGCTTCTCCTTCACGTTGGATAGTTTCTCATGATAGATTACCTTTTGGACGTTGGCAAATGTAAACCCGGTTATCGGTACAACTGCTGTCCTCCCACTGTCCTTGATAAGCAGCTCTTAGCAATATGCACCTCCCTTGACTTGGTGTTAAACGGAAGTTTGAATATCTTATACAAAAGGGAAATAGGTAATATAGAGTAATGACCCTTATTATGTGCTTGGAAAATGTCATGAATTATTTCAAATCAGTACGTTAATCATTATTATTATTATTGTAATTAGTATTAATATTATCATTAACATTATTATTAATAATTGTATGACATTTTAAACTATCATCACTATTTTAATAATTGTTATTAACATTATTTCACCACTTTTGTATTATTTTAATATTTTCATTATTATATTTATTACAATCGTATCAGATTGAATATGCCACGCATCAACCGAACACGCTTCTGCCAATCGTCCGTACCCTACTCACGTTCAACACAATTCTTAATAGAGAATATAAATTATATTTTTCTCCTTAAAGTTATTTACACACCTTTCCACGTTTAAGTAACAGAAGTACAGGATTTTTTTACATGAACCGAAGATGAATAATACCATAGATATCATAAATACAGATGTAGGCAAGAGCAGCAGAGAACGTAAA